AGTGTGTGTATTTTGTAGGTATTAGGTTTCATGTTTGGTTAGGAAATGTTGGTTAGGTTAAAGTGATTGATGGTGTCATTCAGATCTTCTACATTCTTAACTAATATTTTTGTCTAAGTCTATGAATTTATGAGGGAAGTATGTTAAAATCTTTATGACTGTGGATTCATCTCTTCTTTTAGTTGTCAGTTTTTACTTTGTGTATTTTGGAGCTTTGTTATTAGTCACATCTAATTTATAATTGCTGTATTTGCCTGATGTATTGACCATTTTGTTATTATGAAGTGTCCTTCCACTTGTCCCTAGCAATATCTCTTGTTAAGAAGTCTATTTTGTCTGTTATTAATACAGCCACTTCATCTTCTTATGCTCACTGTTTGCACAGAATATATTCTTTCTAGCTTTTTACTTTTAGTCTATGTCTTTATAGTTAAAGCATGTGTATTGTTGACAGCATACAACTGGGTCTTGGATTCTAAATCAGTTTTAATAATCTCTGCCTTTTGATTGGAACATTAGTCTATTTACATTTAATTTTTTAAGATTTATTTATTTTTGGTAGTGTTGGGTCTATGTTGCTCCTCGCGGGCTTCCCTAGTTGTGGTGAGCGGGGGCTACTCTTCATTGCGGTGCGTGGGCTTCTCATTGTGGTGGCTTCTCTTGTTGTGGAGTACGGGCTCTAGGCATGCGGCTTCAGTAGTTGTGACACGTGGGCTCAGTAGTTGTGGCTCATGGGCTCTAGAGTGCAGGCTCAGTAGTTGTAGTGTGTGGGCTTAGTTGCTCCGCAGCATGTGGGATCTTCCCAGACCAGGGATTGAACCCATGTCCCCTGCATTGGCAGGTGGATTCTTAATGACTGCACCACCAGGGAAGTCCCCTATATTTAATTATTGATATGATTGTACTTAGATCTTCTCTGTTGCAATTTGTTTTGTGTCTTCTGTTTCTTTTTGTTTTTCTCTGTTCTTCCTTTCCTGTCTCCTTTTGTTTTAATCAGATTTTTTTTTTTTTTGCTGTATGTGGGCCTCGCACTGTTGTGGCCTCTCCTGTTGCAGAGCACAGGCTTCGGACGTGCAGGCTCAGCGGCCATGGCTCATGGGCCCAGCCGCTCCGCAGCATGTGGGATCCTCCTGGACAGGGGCACGAACCCGCGTCCCATGCATCGGCAGGCGGACTCTCAACCACTGCGCCACCAGGGAAGCCCTTAATCAGATATTTTTTACTACTCCATTTTAATTTCTCTCTTGGCTTTCTAGCTTTATATTTTTGTACTTTTTTAAAGTTGTTGCTCTAGAGATTACATATGCATCTTAAACTTAAATTAACTTAGAGTGAATAATATTAAGTATTACTTAAGGCAAATATTAAATTACTTAAGGCAAAATATAGAAACTTTGCAATAGTGTATTTTTATGTACCCATCATTTTATTTACATAGTGCTATTGTTATATGTTAGATCTGTTTGTTATAAATCTGTTGCTACTGACATAAGTTTTAACTTAAGTAGTTATATCTTTTAAAGATGTTAAGAAAAAATATATAGTTTAAAAATACTTACTCACATATTTACCAATACAGTTTTTTTGTGTAGGTCCCAGTTGCCCTTCAGGCTAAAGTACTTCCTTTAGCATTTCTTGTAGTGGAGTTGCTGGCAGTAAATTGTCTCAGGTTTTGTTTACTGAAAATGCCTTTATTTCGCTTTCATATTTGAAGGGTTGTTTAGCTGGATGTAGAATAATTAGTGTTAACTTTTTTTTTTTGGGGGGCGGCATGTGGGCCTCTCACTGCCGTGGCCTCTCCCGCTGTGGAGCACAGGCCCTGGACACACAGGCCCAGCGGCCATGGCCCACGGGCCCAGCCGCTCTGCGGCATGCGGGATCCCCCTGGACTGGGGCACGAACCTGTGTCCCCTGCATTGGCAGGTGGACTGCCAACCGCTGCGCCACCAGGGAAGCCCTTAGTGTTAGATTTTTTTCCCTCAGAATTTTGAATACGTTGTTCCAGTATCCTCTGGCTTTCATAGTCTTGGGTGAGAAGTCAGCAGTTAATCTATTGTTGTTCGTCTTACATGACATGGCATTTTTCTCTGAATACTTTTAAGACTTTCTCTTTAGCTTCTTTTGCAGTTTAACTGTGATTTGTCTAGGAGTGATTTTAGTTTTGTTTATCTTTTTGGGAGTTTGTTGAGCTTTCTGAATCTTTAAAGTTTTCTACC